TGGGTCTCATGTTACATGCTCAGGTATTCGCCTTCGGGCAGACTCCCATCCCCCAATGCCACACTCCCCTGCCTTCCCAGCCAACACTCCCCACTCACCATTCAAAGACCACATTAAGAACAGTCCCAGTTCGTCACAGCTGTCTTCACTACGGTGAGTCGACTGCTGCCGCTCCCCCGTCGACTCTGCCTGCACCTCTGGCGGTGGTGGGTTACAGGAGTCGACCGGAGAGCACTCGGGGGTCGATTTATCGCGTCTAGACTAGACACGATAAATCGAGCCCTGCTGGATCGATCGCCGCCTGCCGATCCGGTGGGTAGTGTAGACATACCCAAAGACACATTCAGTGCTGGGGGAGGACGGCAGTGGGAAGGAAGCAATGACATGTGCAGGAGGAGGGTGAGGGAGGTGTCTTGCTGCTGCTTCTGGAAGGTGGTTTCTGGTACTTGTAACCAGGGAAAAATTAAGTCTACATGAACCCCAATGTGCCTCTGTTTCCCTTTTACAGGTACGGGGTCTTAGACTTGCTATCAGGGTCTATCACCTGAGGAAGCAGCTCCTGTGTCCCACCCCCCTCACACGTGTGGTGTAAGAAAAGAGGAGAGACAAAAGTTATGTTTGAAAGAGGGGAGTTTTGTATGAAGGGTTAATTACAAGACGGGGCAAGGAGAAAACCGTAAGCAACACAAACACTCCGCAACCAGTGGACTGCAACCAAGGAGCTTGAAGCTCAGGCCCAATTTACCCCTCCCTTGGCAACAAGAACAAAACAGATCCAACCCCCTCTATGGCCCCTGCTAATCCCTGTCATCTCTGGGCAGGGCAGATGGTGGCGAGTGGTGGGTGCAGGACGTTCTGCCCTCGGCCGAACGCCGGCCTTTGGGAAGAAACGCTGGATCTCGACCGCTGGATGGTGACAAGCGGCTGGGACCGGAGCTGCGGATGGACCAAAGGACCCTGGGTGGTGGGTCAGTTGTTGGTGTCACAGAATCCTTCGCAGCTCTCGATCCGGAGACCTGGGCAATAGCCTGACCGCACACGGCTGCCCCCCGGACAGCGCTGTGAAGACGGGGCACAGTTCTTTATAAGACATGAGTGGCGGGAAAGCTCTGAGGGGACGGCAGTTACAAGCCAGTTCCAACTGGTTTGAACCAGCTGTTCGTGCCACAGCTTTGGCGCCTTAATTTTCCCGCCTCAGGGGACAAAATGGAGATTTGACTCCATTTTGAAAAGTCCCAAA